GGAGTCCACAAGACTGCAGACTTCCTTTAGGACATCCTTCTCCTTAGTTACAAACCCTCCTTAACAGAGGGGTTTTCAAGGGAAATACACTAGGTGAAAAAAAGTCAATCTCCAAAGTTTCTAGGCTGTTGATTCTATGTCTATAACATTCTTGAGATGAAAAGTTACAAAACTGGAAAATATATTAGTGTTTGCCATAAGATAGGGTGGGGAATTAGCAAAGGAGGAAGGTAATTAACTGTATGTAAAGGGGGACTCTCGTGATGGATCTCAGCTTCCATCTCTGTATCTTGACTATGGTGGTAGCTACACCAGACATAATAAATTTACAGAGAACTAAACACACACAAACAATTCAATCTTTCCCAATGTATTTATACATATACCTTTCACCAGGAATAAATGTATGTTTTAATGGCACTTAATGGAGACAATATTGTTATCCAGGAGAGCAGATCCAATAGCTGACTGCCTTTCAGTATCTAGGATAGACCCAAGGGAGAGATATTTTTGTGCAGGCAAGTCTTTTGGTACTGTTCACATCTCACGACATCACCAGCTGCCTACTCCACCTACTCTATCTTCCTTTTGTGGATTAAAATTAAAAGTTCATTTCTGTTCATGAAGAGTGTGTTTAGCCTTGTCCAACATGGTAACTATTTGTACATTTCCCTCTGTTATAGAGTGAAACTTAGAAAATGTTTAGTTAATCTATCTATCTCTCTTTCTTTCTTTTTTTTTTTTTTTTTTTTTTGACGGTGAAATAACAGGTCCATATTTGAAATGAGTATCTGGGACCTCAAAGCATGAGACCTTAAATAGCTGAAATCAAACGGATGTGTAAAAGCTTCCTCTCTTACCCTCCTCTCATCCACTGTAGAGGAGTAAAAGCCTCTTTCTCTGTTGACAATCAATTAACAAATATTTACAACCTCTTCAACAACCTTTTCCAGCCATTACTAGATCATTAGAGAAGATGTCGAACTCCCTGGCCCTTTCAAGGCATTAGGGATGTAGCTGCAGAGAGATGAAGCCACACAGTTAAAGTAGCACCTGCTGTGCTCCACGTACTTCAACCACAGGTAGCTCTTAAGAATCAATTTGTGGTTCTGAACAAATGGTCTGGAACAGAATGGGAACCCAAAACAGAAGCAACTGAAAAAGGTGATGGGCAATTAGAAAATTCTAGTGATTGTTTAAATAGTACTCAACATATGAAACCTCTCTTAAATGAGAAAAACATAAAATAAATGTTCTTCACTATTTGTCTCTCTTATCTGAATGATTGAAAATATTCTGCAGGGCACTCCCTGGTGGCACAATGAGTTAAAGTTCAGCACGGCAAGCTGGTTGCAGCCACTTTAGTGTGAGTTGGATCCCAAGCCCCAGAGGTGACCCACATGGCGCGGCAGACCTCTCCTGACCCGCCTGCTGCTCCCCTCAGCAGTGTACTTCATTGATCTGCCTGTTCTGCTCCCCACTCTGTCTCTGGTGAATCCTCTCACTGCCCTTGCACCTCTGGCCTGTACCCCAGTACTGTATGCATAAACAAATGTCTATATGCTGGGCCTTCCTGGTGGCACAACAGGTTCAAGTGCAGCACTAAGAAGTGATTCACAGGCATTGCAGCATAATTTCTATTCCCAGGGAGCTGACCCACATGGTGTGGCAGACCTCTCCTGACCCACCTGCTGCTCCCCTCAGCAGTGACTCTGTCAGTCTGCCTGTTCTGCTTCCCCACTTTGTCTCTGGTGAATCCTCTCACCCCTCTGGCCTTTACTCCAGTTCTTATATGCGTAAATAAATAAATATTTTTAAAAAGGATGCTTAACCTTTAAAAAAAGAAAAAGAAACTACTCTGCAATTAAGTACCTTTAATAAGCTACCTGTATAAATATCTTGTGGGCCAGGTGATAACTGATCTACTTAGAATGTTGGTGGTATTCATTTTCCTGCATGTCTATCAGTGGTTCACTGGATCAGAAATGTATTTTCTTGCAAGATTGTACTTGTTCTTCCAGAAAATCATTAGTTCAAAACTGAACACTCCAAACCACCAAGTGGGGAAAGGGTGTTCATAAAAAACTCTATACTATCTATTCAATTTTCTGTAAACTTGAAGCCTTTCTTAAATATAGTCCATTAGTTAAAAAAATAACTGATTAATTAAAAGTCTCTTAGGTGGCCAGAATTAAGGTTAGGTTTATATTTGAGTGATTTCTTTACTTTATGTACTAATATCACGGTTTCTTCCCCCTTTCAAGCAAGTATGATGCAAGCTAGCTGTCCTCATCCTACCCAAATCTTGCTGTTTCTATTTTTGGAAGGAACCTACTAATAAAGGCAGGAAGAAATAGCTAGAGGAAGGAACCCTGAGATTGTCCTGAGGGGAAGAAAGGAGGCCAGACCAGGACAGTCCTTTGTTAGGCACCTCACTCCTCAGAAGCCCTTGATAGAACTAGCTGACATGAGCTGCAAGAAGAAAGGATGCCCCTGAGAAAGATTCTTGCACATTCCATGTCTATAATAGCCATCAGGTGAAAAATTATAGAAATGGGGAACATATTAGCGACTGCCACAGGAAAAGAAAAGCATTCTGCCTTGGCATGGGCGGCACCCAAGACAGGAGAAAAGACAGCAGAAAAGACAGGAGAAAGACAGTAGAAAAGACAGGAGAAAAGACAGCAGAAAAGACAGGAGAAAAGACAGGAGAAAGGACAACAGAAAAGGCAGGCATCTGGATTCGTGGCCTGACCCTGGTGTGGGCAGACACTGTGATGAAGTATGATGGAAAGACTACAGTTCTGGGATATCCCTGTTGGTTGCAGGGGTTAAGTCTTAGCACTATCAAGCTATCACCAGCCACTCACTGCAGCACGAGTTCAAAACCCGGCCAGGGAGTTAATCCACATGTTACAGCAGACTTCTTCTGTCTTGCCCTCAGCGGTGTATTTCAGTAAACCTGTTTGTTCTGCTCCCACCTCTGTCTCTGGTGATTCCTCTCATCCTCCACACCTCTGGCCTACACCCCAGCTCCTGTATGTATAAATAAATAAAAAGAAAAAGAAAGCCTGCAGTTCCTAAGATGCTCATCCCCCAGGGATTCCCTCACTTGTCTGAGCAGAGGAAAGGATTGAATGGAGTTGGAAGTTCCCACAGGTCACGGGCAAGGGGAGCAGAAAAATCAACTTTCTACAGTAGGACATCTCAGCTCTGTCCCATGACTGGTGTGGCCTGAGGGAAATACCTGTTTTGTAAGTACTCTCTGAAATGATTCACTGAATCATGCAGTGTTGTTAAAATGCTGCATCCTTTGTAATACAAATTCCCATTAATTTTTAAAAATAAATTTACTTCCATAGAGTCAGATGACATAACACATTTCAGTAAGAGTAAAAACGAGAAGACTGCCATGTGCCAGCTCTTGGCTTCCCAATCCTGAAAAGACTTTTCAGAGACATCAAACCAATGGGACCTAAAGCCCCAAGATTCTGCTTCTACTTGTGCTGTTACCCTTTGGTAAGCAGCTTCACTCATTTTTTTTTTTTTAAAGATCTATTTATTTATTTGTGCACACAGAACTGGGGTACAGGCCAGAAGTGCAGGGGTGGTGAGAGGATTCACCGGAGACAGAGTGGGGAGCAGAACAGGCAGATCGACGAAGTACACTGCTGAGGGGAGCAGCGGGGGAGGGGGGGTCGGGAGAGGTCTGCTGTGCTGGGGCAGGGGATAGAACTCATGCTGAAGTGGCTTTAGCTCCTTAGTGCTGCTCTCTAACCTGCTGTGCCACCAGGGAGGGCCCAGCTTCACTCATTTTTAAAAGGACAATATTTTCTTAGGATCAGCCACTATATCTGAGTATGACTGGTGACAGACACTATGTCAACCACATAAAACAGAGAGAACACCAAAGTGCATAAGATCATTTAGAATGTGAGATATCTAAGGCGAAATCTTGATTTTTAGAGTGATTCATATGGACTTCTCAAAAATGTCATTTAATCCCACTTCCCCAATCCTGAAAAACCTAGAAGGGTATAGAGGATGGTAATTTCCTCTATGGGTCAATGTGGAGGAAAAAACATTGGGGGTTTCCACAGTTCTCTTAAGTTCAAGGGTGTGGAGATAACACTGGAATTTCCAGTAGCAACTTCAGTAGTAGTTTTAAGACTACTGGTGCATAGGCAGAATTACCACCAACCGTCAAAGTATAAGAAACGATTTCTTGATCCAGATAGTTGATTGCTAGTCTCTGTTCTACTTCCCCAAAATAAAATGAGTACTATCAGATAAAGTCGTGACCCAAACACCAAGTGCCACTCTTCTTGAGCTTCTCTGCTACAGCCAAGAAATGCAGTATGACTTTCAGTAGGTTCTGTCCCAGTCCCTTCAATGAACCACTCCCTACACAAGGCCTGCGACTAGCACCCAGAACACCCTCTGGCCATGGGGATTCAAGGTTTGTCTAGACCATTTCCCTTAGGGAGAGAGATCTTTGCCCAAGTTCACATTGCCTGTAACTGGAACAACTAAGATTGCCAACTGCAGGGCCTTGTGTGATGATCACACGGGTAACTGGGACTCTCGAGTGCTCCTCTGAAGGGAAAACAATGCTGCCAATTTAGTTTGACAGGTGACCTGAACAGGCTAAGAGCACTAGTCTTCAAAAGGCTAATAATAAAGCACACAATCTCAGGTCTAGGTGGTTGTATAAATTTCAAGAGCTGTCATTTTTTTTAAGATTTATTTATTTATACACACAAGAACTGGGGTATAGGTTAGAGGTGTAGGGGTAGTGAGAGGATTCACCAGAGACAGAGCAGGTAGCAGAACAGGCAGATCTTCAAAGTACACTGCTGAGGGGAGCAGCAGGCAGATCAGGAGAGGTCTGTCACAACATGTGGGTTACCTTCTGGGCTGGGAATCGAACTTGCATTGCAGTGGCTGCAGACAGCTTCATAGTGTTGTGCTTTAACCCACTGCACCACCAGGGAGGGCCCGAGCTGTCATTTTTTATTATTATTTTCCCCAAGGTATCTCTTCTTCCCAGTTCTCATATAATACCAATCACTAATTAATAAATAGCACTGTAGTCTGTTAATGTGCATTTTGCATTTGCAATATTCATTGCAGCTCACTTAAAAGAGTCACAAGTCATATTTCTTGTCCTCTTGCAAGTCTTCTAATTGGTTGGGTGTGAAAGTGCAGATATGGAAAGTAAAGCAAAAAACACAAATACCTGTTAACTTGGTCCTGGTAAAAGTAAATAAATAGAAAAAGAGAAGATAAATAAAGAGGGCAAAAAACAAGTCCTGCAGAAGCACAGGTACTACAAAAATGATTCTTCCTAAAGTAACTTAAGTTCTTTGCCCAAAACTAACCAGCAGCTGCTCATCTAATAACAACTAATATATTAGCGTTCTTCACCTCAGTAGAAGCAGTTGCCTGAAAATGTCTTAACTGGCTATTCCCGTAAGCCTTTACTTCTTCTGTTTTTATAACAGAGAAGCAAAATTTTCCACCGTTGTTTTTTTCTTTTTTTTTTTTCCCCACTGAACATTCTTAACATGTTCGGACTTAGCTCAGATCTTTTTGAGAACAGCATAATTAGTATGAATGTGATCAAGGACCCTATTCACTAGGAATGCACACACGATTTGCATGGCCAAGTTGTGTTGGGTTCAGTTGGTTTCTCAAGTCACGTAGACGCAACTTGAAGATTAATGCACACACAAAAAAAATGATTCATTTTTTCTCCCCAGATTGTTGCAGCAACATAGTGAGGCCATTCTCTCTGCTGGGCTTGTGTCAGCACTTCCAGTCTAACCGGGTTTTTTCAAGCCTTGCAGACTTGGCTGTGAAACTGCCCTGTGGGTCTGAAAATTCAGGAGACATTATTGTAAGGCCAATTTGATTAGATTTTTGCCAGTTTCCCTGTCTGAGCTGTCTGCTCATTTTATGATACCTAAGGAAGGTTGCACAATTCTTAAGCCATTGTGTTTCTAAAATGAAGTGGGATTATCTACTTGACAACCAGGATTGGGTTTGCTATTTAGGAATCAACTAAAATGCAATTGCTTTGATTCTTTATAATTATATCAAAAACACCTTTGAGTTGTAGAAAAATAGGCATGGAATTTAATCTGCATTTTTATGAAATGTAAAGGTGTCATGCATTTGACCTGCTTCTTCCCTTCATGTGATTTTTTTCTCACCCTCTAAATTCTGGGACTAAAGAAAATTCTTCACATGCTTATCTCACCTTTAACTGATAGGCTTCACTCTGATGGTCGAGTATTCCCAGGACAGAGGTACCATGATTTGCAGACAATGCAGGTTTGGCTCCAATCTGAAAAACAGTACATGGATAGATATCTTATTTCCCTTAGTAGTATTGAGGATTGGGGTGTGTTTTCAGTAATGAAAAAGTTCACAGATCCTAGTGTTTTATTTAAGTCATCTTGCCTTCAGTTTCTAGGGGCTGCAAAGAAAGGCAGATTGATGTTGGAAAAGGGCAGTGCCCTGAACTAACAGCCCTAAGCTTATATCTTGGTTTTGTCACTGTGTGACCAAGGGCATATTAATAAGCACTGGTCTCCTTAACTACTAATCAATGAAACACTTATTTTAAGGAGTTTAATAGGTGTTTAGGATTCATTCATTTATTTAATCAATAAATGTTTGATGGGAGAGGGGAACATTTACTACTTGCCAAGCACAGAAGCATTGGAAGCATAGATAAAATTCTGCCAGGGTGAAGCCTGGTGAAGTCAGGGAGGTCTGATCATGATCCAAAAAAAATAAAAATGTAGAATTATAAAACACTAAGTGCCACAAAGGAAACAACATACTACTTTGGGAGCATACTAACTTTTCCAGGGAACCAAGGAGGCTTCCTTCAGTGAGTGGTATTTGAGCTAAATCTCAAGGATGAGGGGGCATTAGCCAGGCAGACTGGGGACCCTTGGGGGGGGAGGGGGTTGGATCCCAGTCAGAGTTCAGCATGTACAAAGGCCACCATGGCAGGAAGAAGTTGGGCACTGGAGTAAGGTGAGTGGACAGGACTGGAGCTAGTGAGGGAAGGCAGGAATCAGACCTGGCCTTCTCCGCGAGTCAATGATCTTGTTAATAACATTCTCTTTAGCTCTCAAAAGTGTCTGTATTTGAATAATTACATGGCCACACAATAATTAAGGCTACCTTAATTACACTGATCTTTTTCTTAAAAGACATAAGTAATTTTTTTTTTTTTTTAGAAAAGTAGGGCCACGGATGGAACTCGCACTGAGGTGGCTGCATTAGCTTGCAGTGCTGTGTTCTAACCCATTGCGCCACCAGGGAGGGCCCATGACATAAAGAATTTTAAGCCTAGTAATAACATAATAGTTTCAGAAAGCCAAGGTGAAGGAAATAAATCGCTATGTAAGGTCTCACCTATGACTCTGTATTTCACATCAGACTCCTGTGGAATGATAGCCTGAAAGAACAGCACTACCAATTTATCAGGTATAATATGAATAGCTATCTTTAAAAAGTGTCTAATTAAGTTTGAAGACATAGCATTTATAAGTGCGATCAGTACTGTATTAGTCAGAATTCTCCAGATGACAGAGCAATAATGTGTGTGTGTGTGTGTGTGTGTGTGTGTGTGTGTGTGTGTGTGTTGTATGGAGAGAGATTTTAAGGAACTGACTCATAGAATTTTGGAAGCTGGGCAAATCTAAAATCTGCACTGAGGCCTCGGTAGGCAGGAGACCCAGAAAAGCTTTCCTACTTGAGCCCAAGGGCAGCCTACTATCAGAATTCCATTTTCTTTGGGGTAGGTCACTCTTTTTTTCTATCAAGTCTCTCAGATTTTAGAGGGGGGACCTACTCCACTCAGCATCTATCAAAGTAAATGTTGATTGCATCTGAAAACACACCTTCATGGTAAGATCTACCATGTTAATATTTGAGCAACTTTCTGGGTACTATTTTCCAGTCAAGTTGACACATAAAGTTAACCATCTCAAGTATCTATCAATACAAGTGAATGAATGAGGTTTTATCCCTTCTGGTTTTTGGAGCACACGGTGCCTAATCCCAATATCCTTGGGATATACTCCCAGAGTCTTTTCACAGCATCTCTGTGCTGGAACACCAGCTCAATCAAATTGTTTCAGAAAAGACAAAGCAAAGTTCTAGAAGGGGCACACCCATACTGTGTTCCCCAGAAGTTCCTCTGGTCATAGGACCCATTGGTCCCACATTCCAGGGTAGAGTGGTGAGATAATCTGGGAAGAGGTGTGGCTGAGGGAATTCCCTTGAGCATTTCCCAACTTCTGAACAAAAAGGCAAGAACTGTTTGGCCTGTCAAGGAAATTCCCTGAGGGAAACATTAACTTTGAAGCCTCACAGTTTCAATGAGGAAGTTATAAAGGTCGACATCTAAGAGCAGAAAGTCTCCCCCCCACACGCACACACTCTCATGAAGAAAAGAAAAGAAAAATGGCTTTTCACATAAGCAACTTCCCTGTGCTACTTTTGGGCTTGTATGAAGATCGGAGTTATATGTTATAGTTTAATCACACCCACTGCAAAATGTGATAATTTCCCCATGCCATTAGCATTTGACTTTCTGATTTACTAAATCTCTCCTTTATGACACGTTCCAGTTTTGTGTCCATATATTCCCTTCTTCGAGAAGGTAAGAAAGATAAACCTCAGAGTCAGAGGCTACAAGGAACATCCTGAAGACTTTCAATCTAATAGTTTTCATCTTTTTTTTTGTCTTTTTATAACTTACAGAGGGAAAACATATTTAATAACGGGAAGAGGAAGTTTTCAATGACAAGAATCATTATTCAGGCTAGCTGACTTTTAGCTTAAGTGTAGCTAGAACAAAAGACAATGGGGTTAGACTCAGCATAAGTGATTGGCATTAATTATAGAGAACTATGTGATATTGAGAGAACTGCAAACTCAAAGAGGTTTCTGGAAAAGACTGTGGTCGCTGCTTCCTGAAAAGATCAGAGTAATAACAGACCAGGATTTTCCACACCAGTAATATTAGGACACACCAGTGTATTGAATATCTTATCGGTGTGTCTCAAAAAGAATTTTTGCCTCAAAAAGCCCAAGAAACAATTGCCCCAGAATGACCCATAGCTGTCCAGGGGACTCAATCTCTTTTCTTCTTTCTATTACCTTTCAGTGCAAAACATACCCAGGACTTTATGGAGACACAGGCAGTTTGGATTGCCTACTCTGAAGTAAACTCTCAGATAGCCAGCTCTACTAAAGCTAATAGTTTCCTTTCGAGTGTGTACACTAAACTCAACAAAACACAAATAAAGATTCGTCTAACTTGACACATTATATAGCTACATAAGGTGATCTTTTAAAAAATATATATATATATAGAAAATCATTCTAAGTTCTTTTCTTCAACTTTTTGTTCTATGTTTAAAAATACTGATTTTCTTTTTTCAAGCAAATTTATAAACTGCTCTTCTGGAGAACTATGGTATATCTAGACCAGCCAATTATTTGAAAATTGTGATAACATGAAGTTTGAAAACTCTTCATCAACAAATGTTGAACTTACATTAGGAGCTAACTAACTTCAACCTAGTCCACAGTAGATAACAAATCTCTTCTTCTCTAGAGATATAATTAAGCAGAAAATTGTAAAGCTCACCCGATTTAGGGGAATGAAAAAGTAGTAGAGGTAGGAAAAGGGAGGTAAACACTTTTTTCATCATACGATTTGTCATAAAGTAGATACTTATCAGAGGACAAAATGTTTCCTCACCCTGTTTACCGGGCAACCCCAATGTGAAATGGGTTGGCCTGACTGTGGTTCCTTACCCACACCCTTAAAAGGGACTTATAGTAAGAGTCAACTGCAGACACACACAAAAAGGTTAATAAAGGTTTACTTACAAAAGGGGGAAAGAAAAAAGGAATGACTCAGAGAAAAAGAGAGAGAGAAATTGGTGAAATGCATCCTACCAGTTCTGCTGAGCTGGAACCCCAATAGCATGCTGAAAGCGAGCAAAACACCAAGAACTTTCAAGGCCCCATGTCTAGTTATATACCAAGCCTGGCTGCTTGGCAGTCCTTGGTGTCTTGAGTCTCTTTGATCTGGGGTAGGGGTGGGGTCCATAAAACCTATTTGTGGAGTTTGTTCAGGACATCCTTTTCCCCCAATAGCCCCATCTCTCCACCATGCCAGCTTTCCTTTTACCTTTCCTTAATTAATCACCTCCAATCAGTTTTTTTTTTTTTAAAGATTTATTTATTTATTTACACAGAACTGGGGTACAGGCCAGAGATGCGGAGGGTGAGAGGATTCACCAGGGACAGAGTGGGGAGCAGAACAGGCAGATCGACGAAGAACACTGCTGAGGGGAGCAGCGGGCGGGTCAGGAGAGGTCTGCCACGCCATGTGGTCACCTCCGGGGCAGGCGGGAATCGAACTCATGAGGAAGTGGCTTTAGCTTCTTAGTGCAGTGCTTTAACCCACTGCGCCACCAGGGAGGGCCCCAATCAGTTCTTTTAAGATTTTATTATTATTTATGCCTACATAACTGGGGTACAGGCCAGAGGCACAGGGGCAGTAAGAGGAGTCACCAGAGAGAGAGTGGAGAGTAGAACAGGCTAATTGATGAAGTAGAGCTAAGGAGAGCAGCGAGCAGGTCAGGAGAGGTCTGCCATGCCATGTGGGTCACCTCCCTGGCCGAGAGTGAACTCTTGCTGCAGTGACTTCAGATAGCTTCATAGTGCTGCGCTTTAACCCACTGTGCCACCAGAGAGGACCCACCTCCAATCAGTTTTTATCTGCTATCATCAGCTCTCCTTTCCACACCCTTCTCATATGGTAAAAGTAAATCTTGACCACTTCAGAAATGCATAAATTCAACATAAAAAGATTAAATATCACATAGGCCACATCTTACTAGGATGGCATAGTGTCCCACCTGAAGTGGAGAAAGGATGCTGTAATGATAATTGTTTTACAAACGCCCACAGATGTGTATAGTTTAAATTGTGTATAGTTTTAAATTCTAAATCCTGGCCTATTAAAAACAAAATTTACATATATTTTAAGAATTTGTAAAGATATGTTACCTTATTAGGTATCAAGGAAAGAATTCTTTTCCTGCCGTACTGGGTCTAAATTTTTTTAAAAAGATTTATTTACTTATGCATACAGAACTGGGGTATAGGCCAGAGGTGCAGGGGCAGTGAGAGGATTCACCAGAGACAGAGTGGGGAGCAGAACAGGTAGACTGATGAAGCACACTGCTGAGGGGAGCAGCACGCAGGTCAGGAAGAGGTCTACCGTGCCATGTGGGTCACCGCCGG